TTTAAAGGTTACAGAATTTATTTTTCTCTTTATAGAATATATACACTTTCTCAAAATACAAATAAATTACTATAACAGTCCTTATGTAGTTTCTATGTTTAGGAATACACATAAATGTATTTATGAAATTATATTAAAAATTAGTAATTAATATGAATTAATATTTTGGAAAGCACCGATAAGGATTTTTTCAATTTGGTTATAGAGAAATTGATAAATCTTTCAAACACACTGATAGGGTAGAGTTATTAGAAAACATAAAAGCTTAATTATTTATCATTATAATTTAAAAAATATTCCAGAATAAACCGAATAATAATATATGTGTTAAGATAAAGCTACTTCTGATATATGAATAATGATTATAATAGTGTTGTAGGAAATGTGTATAATAAAATACCTCTAATGAAATTGTAAATTTTAAAAAATGTTATAGATTTTTTATTATAAAATTGTTTAAACAATAACTTTTTTCCTTTGTTATTTGTCTATAGACGTAACATATTTTACTTATATATATTTGAATTTACTGTTATTATACCATTATTAGCTCTCATTTATTTAATGTGCACAACTTAAAGAGGCTTTATGGGTTAATTTATACAATATTGTGTAATACTTTTGTCAATTATCTTTACATAACATTTGATTCATATACATTTACATGTTTAAAAATACTTTTACCTTTTTAGACAATTCTATATAACTGAAGGATATTCATATATAATTTATTGTGTAATTAAGAAAAAGAAAATATTTCGTTGATAATGTATCTAGAATGATTCTAAAAATTCAAACTGCTATATATATAATAAAAGTATAAACAAAAGAACTTATAGCAGAACACATTAATTAATATGTTTAAAATAAATATATATAAAAAATCATAATTATTTTTATATATTCTTCCTAATAATTTATATAGAGACGTAGGTTACATATGCAATATATATATACTTATATATAATAGAAAAAAAAAATTTATTTAAGGAAATCACAAAAACTCTTATGAAATTTTCATGCTATATGAGAAGTAATATGAAGTACCTTATTTTAGTGATGTGAATAGGAATAAATATAAGTACAATGTTTCAGTTATATGGAAACGTATTTGTATTAATATTTTTTTAACATTCATTTAATTGAATATTATAATATTGGATAAGGAAAAAATATCACATTTCTGTTTCTACATTATAATATATAAATTTGTTACAAGTACAATCTAAACCCATCTGAATTAAATAAAATACGATAATTATATAAAAATATAAACAAATTTATTTTATTAAATACATTAATTTTATTACATGGTTAAATGAATTTAATTTATGTCAATATAGTATGTAAATTATATTATACTGAATAAAAGTTATATATTTTTTTACTATTTTACCATCAATAATACGTATTTTAGTTTTTCTTTGTTTATATAAAAGAGAATTTATATATATATAACTCAAAAAATAGCATTATTGCATAATATGCTATTAAATAATATATTTTATCATATTTATTCCTTGAAGCAAGATCAATCTTAGGATGAATTTTAACAAACACATTATATTCATAAATATCAATAAATTTTTTTCAAAGTTTTTAATTAAATTATTGTATTATATCTATGAGAATTATCACGAGGAATAATCATTTACAAGAAATTATTAATTCTTCTAATTATGTAAGTAATGTAGTTATACAAATATATACACTACTCAATAGCAGTACCATTTTTACATTGGACAAGATATCTATAATTTCTAGTGTAAGGAATAAGAGAAAATGTATATATCTTAAAATTTTCTTTTAGACCCTTAAGTTATAATATATAATGATAAATATAATTTTTAGTGAGGATGTCCAGTTTCCAAAAAAAAGAACGCAACTGTGATATTATATAAAGGATGAATTTGATAACAGGCAACAATGTTAAAACTGAATTTTTTTTATGAATAAATCTGAAATTCACATCACTCTTGTATTATCTATATTTCTGGCATTCTGGAGAGAGTTTACTTTAAGAATTTCTTATTTAATAAGGTATAATGATAGTACATAACACAAATTTTTATATAATATATAATTTTTTTACCTTACATCTACAAAATGATAATAAAAATAATTAAGCATATTTTATGGTAATGGTTTTCATTAAAAATCACCACGTAAACTTTTGTGTATTGTTAAATTCAAGAATAGGAAAAAAAATTATTACATGTAGTTTACATATATATATATTCAGAACTAATTAATTAATAATTTTTATTGCATACTAATTTATATTTTAAAAGATAAATGATATATATTATAAAAATATTTATTATATTATTAAATATAATATAAAAATGAATTAAATATTAAATAAAAAACATGGTAAAATTAATACAGCAATAAAACTTCTATTTAGAGCAATAATATTCGCAATATATACATCAGAAAACTAAACATACTCCTATATTATAAAAAACATTTATGCATAAAATAAATCTTACCAAAATCCAGAAATACATAATATCATAATTAATTATTAAGGAGAGATAAAATTGAAATTCATTCGAAAATAATAAATATATAACCGAAATAGATAGTATGTCTTAACATATAATGATATAAATAAAATGTTTAGAAAATGAAACATTATGAGTTTATTTATTTTTTTGTGTATTATAGGTATTCATTAATTTCCTTATTTATATTGAAGAGATATCACGATTTCGAATGTACGAGCTAGTATATAAATTATATTTTTAGCTTATCCTTGTTTATATTACCATTTTTATTTAATTCATATAAGGATATAGTTTCTTATAACTAATATATGATATTTAGCATTTATAATTAGTTTAATATATTACTTATGGGAATTATAATAAGTTAAAATATTTGAATAAAATTAAGAAAATTTAATACAACAAAATGTTTATTAATACGTGAAAGAAAAATAAAAAATTGATATTCTAACATAAAAGAACTGGCTTATATTATATTTATAAATAGAATCTTGATAATAGAATATCAAATATTATGATTAATGAATAATATATATTTATAAATTATAATAATATACCCTTTATGAATTTAATAGAATAAGAAAAAATAACATATTTTTTTCATGTTTTTATATGTATTACATTTACCATATATTATTAAAGTTATATATTATTTTGTTTTTTACGCTTTTATAATAAAAGTTTTTATATATTCTTTTTGAAAAAAATATTATATATAACAAAATAGTTATGCCTGTTTTATATATTATTTTTTTTTCTAATTAAATAAAAATATTTATTGTATAATTTGCTACATATAATTTTTCCCATTCCATAAAATATCAATATGAAGCTTCATCATTCCTACTATTCTAATTAATTTAATATCATTTATATAATATATAATAAAGAAATCGTTATCTAACATTTTATTATTATGAGAAAACATACATTTAATTATAAATATGTGAATGTAAAATTTAGATTATTTAACTTGTATAATAAATTTTGTAATGTGTTTATATATAATGAATATAAAATCTACTGTAATTCATATTTAAAATAAAGTCTGTAAAACTTGATGCTTGAGATTTAATGATTTATTATATTGTTTATTTATATATGTTTTTATATATGTGTAATAAATAAATTACTTTTCAAGTATATTATTAACATATGAATTATGTAAATTTACATCAAACTTATTATCCCATATATTTCAAAATATTCAATAGGAACAAAAATAATTTAAGATATATGATTTAACTGAAAAATAATTGTAGCATAATACGAAACAATTATCATGAAATTATTATTCTACGACCTCTATTGGAAAATAAATCTATATAACATTAATAGATTTATTATTCCATATATATGAATATGATTACAAATCGTGCGATTTAATATATTTCAATATATCATTAATTTTTTTGGAATATTGAAAAGAATTATTTTAATTCATTGAATTACATAATAAAAATATAGAATAATATTAAAAATTAATTTTGCATTGTGTTACATCTGATAAAAAAGTAAAAAAAAAAAATATAT